ATATTCTTATGCGGTAATGATTACTTCCCACATTGCACATTCGAGAAGTTTTACATACAAGGAGGGACAAATCAAGAGATTTCTCACTCTCGCTCGGTTCTCTCTGCTTTTCGATCTTCTGGAAACTGTCATCTTATTGTTATTTTAATTTTATGTTGAAAGATCTTATTCCTCTTATCGAGATATTAGTTATTACATCGCGTTTCGAAGAACTTTGAAATTTTTGAATACCTACGTCCCTCCTCGCGCTTGTAGGGCAAAGTAAAAATAATAGTACGGTGAATCCTTGTTTTTTTTTAAATAGCTTAGAAAATATGTAAGTTCGATTACGGCTAGGTATGTCGCGGATATCTTTGATCGTTGCATGTATTCTTTAAAATCTAGTTTAAATCAAAAGTAAAAAATCCGTCGCGTTCCCCCTTCTATTCCTCGACTTACATGTTTAATTCTGCTTAGTATATACACGGCGGGATGGTACCGTCATCTCTTGGCACCGGAGTACTTAAATTAGGCTACCGTTTTCTTTCTTTCTTTACTCGGGCGTAAAGGTATCTTAAGCGTTAACAATACTTCGAATAAGGTTCAGAGAGAGGATTGCGAACAGCAGCAAAGACGTAGCAGGCCTCTGATACTTTTCGTATCACCTCCTATGCGGTGCCTTCTATCGAACTGTGCGATTAGCGTCAGTAGAAATGTATAACTGCGTTCAGCAGACAAAGCTCAATGAGCGTTCAGAAGCTTTATTCTCGAAAAATATCGCATAAGAAAATACTAGTATATTTTCGTATGTGATATTATAATTTCAGAAAATAAGCCCAGTTTTTTTTATTTATCCAGATTCTTTTATTACGATTGGTTTTTATATTTAGATCCAATAAATAATTAAAAACATGAACCAATCATATTTAAAAAATTATTGAACGCTTACTGAATTGCTTTATTTGTTGAATTGCATCTTTTATACTTGGATGAATATAGAATCAGAAAAGGAAACGGAACGTTCCATTGTGGAGCGCTTTTGAAAAATATTCTTAGACTAGGAAAAGGATATACGCTTTCATCATCGAATTTATCATTGATAAATCAGTCGTCGATACGGTTAATACTTTCCTTATCGATTTCGTCATGATAATAATATTTTTGGAATTTAAGTAAAGTCTAGTCCTTGTCGCCGCATAAGCCAAATTACCCTAAAGATTATTTTGGTAAAACGTGAAAAAATTCGTCTTTAACTTGAAACCAATACTACTATATATATATATGATATCGTTATAATCTCTATGTCATATCAGATTCAAACAATAATTGAGGACATGGCGCTGCTAAATTATTTCCTGTACTGATAATACTCAGACAAAATCACATCCTTTTAGTCTTTACAGTCGCATCCCACATTGTCTTACTACAAAACAAAAATATTCTTTCTCAGAACTGAGCTACTTATAATTATCCTTAATTAATACCGCATAACAATTTCATAGTTACGTAACACACAGTCGTCTTTTGTACATATAAACATGTATATACGTATACATATAAATATATAAATATATACATATATGAATGTATATATGTATATACATGTATATATGAAATGCTTTGCAAATTGCTAATAGACGGTATTTGAAAAATAAAATATTACAATTATGATCCAATTTTAGATCAGATTTCATAGACTACAACTAAGAATGAAGCTAATACTCAATTAATTATACCTCGAGGAAATCCTTCAATAAAGTGACACGACGCTTTTCTGCAATGTCCATTTGATTTTCTAAATCTCCTCGATCTGTTGTTTCCGCTCGTTCAATCTTCCACGAGAGATTCTCTATTTCTGCTTCTAATTGAGCTTGTTGATATTCAAACTGTTAACAAAACAATTCAATATCCATTTATATTATCATACATATGTATATTTTGTTGAACATTATTATTAGCTTTTGTCATTACTATCGCGAGATCTTACCAGTTCTTTGCGCGGACCAGATTCCATGTAATAGGCATACGGGTACGTGTACTGTAAAGTATAACGACAACGCGCTAAAAGCGACGCCGCCTCAAATAGATGTTGCCAATCTATCCATGTACCACTAGCTTTCATCACTTTATTATTAATTCTCATTTTAATTCCTTCTAACGTTTGTTCCTCCAACTTTAATGATTTGCTATGATTCTCCCACTAAAAACAGCACAAAGTACAGCAATCATAAAAAATAAAGCGAAAATTATCCACGTTACGTGCTACGTTTTTACATCAAGTCAAACTTACTCGCTCATAATAGTGAAGGTACTTTTTAAGAGCTTCTCTCGCTTGTGCGTGAACACTCTCATGCGCGATATTTGGATTCTCCTTGTAACGCGAGCATTCGTAATATTCGCTACCATGTGCTTTCCAATCTCCAAGGCACATCCAGCAGAAATCATGCTTACAATTGTAACATTGCATATGATTGCAGCCACCGTTCTTCTCTATGCAGATATGACATTTTGGACACTGCAAAAACATTTTACGATACATTAAGCGTTTCCTTTTGTACTTTAGAAACTATTCTACAAGCAATAAGAAATAATCACATCTTTGGTATGAGCACTAATGTAATTCGCCGTCTCCGAATCATCCGCACATTTCGTTAACCATTTTTTAATTGTACTGCAATCGGTAGGTGCATGGTAATCCATACCACATCGGAAGCTGGAATTTGCAACAGTATTCTCGTTGTCAGTCTTGTAACATAAAATACTTGTCATATATAACATGCATTCATTTACCAGAATACTTACCAGAATACAGTTTTACACGATGAACATTTAACTCTCTTTGCTCGTTGTTCCTTGGAGCGCAAAACAATTTGGCAATTTGGACCAGGGCAAAATCGAAGTTGTGGATGAGACTTGACATAATCACAGAAGGCAAACTGCTGATACCTTTCTCTCATGTTAGGCTTAGTAAGTAGGGAAAGGACAAAATCCTCTGGAGCTAGAACATCGCAATCTTGTGCCATGCAGCTTATACCTAAGACAAATATCAGAGATAGATGCATTTTTAACAAAAATTAGCGAAATAAGTACAACTACTACTGTGTGGAGGAATGGAGATTACTTACCAGTGGATATACCTTGAGTTATTTGTACTTCAAAATGCATACACCAACAGTCTTTGCAAAACGAATGTCCACACGTGAGTGTAGCAAATTTGTCTGCGGGACAAACCATGACGCAAACCAAACATACGCCGCCCCGCTGACTCTTTGTTCCTGGCACTTGTTCCGGGGTAGGCTTAATCTTTGAATTTATTAATAAAGTGGAAGCATTGGTACGGTACTTGGTGGCGATATCCTGTGACGCCCAGTTGTGTGCGTGCAGCAACACTTTGGCTAGGGATGGCGTGACATGAAGGCTAGTACTTAACACCTCTACACTCTCATTCAGAAGCCGTTCCACTTGTTCGACTCGTAAACAATCGTACACCGCATACTCAGGATCTCTCCTGTTTTGCTCCGGGTCTACGTCGTTATCCACGTCACCTCCCCATGGCTGGATGTTATAATAGTCCTCATAGCCCGGATCCCCGCAGTCGGAGTCCGAGCAATCCATCTCGCTGTCATTCTCGCTCGACATCTGCATAGAAAACATTCTACACGTTAGCCGACGATCAAACGCCGTGAATGTTACACGGATATCATGACGCGGAGATGAATGTCAAATGAGAAGAGCAGAAGAGCACTTTTCGGCATAACCTTTACAACCGTGAAAGTTCAAGCGTATTCCGAGCTCCACAATTGCGAGAAACGACTTGGACGAACTTGAACGGGACACAAGAGGGAGCGAATTATCGGGCACGAGAGTCGCTTTGAAACATTTGGAAGTGGAATAGAACGGAATCTCTTGATAGTCTTTCACGCGGAATGAAAAGGATTTTTTCACGCGTTATGACGAACTCATCGAGAGCGTTTCGAGCACGCGTCGAGACGTCGAGGGGAAAGAACTTTCGCGAATTTACAATTCGCGTTCTTTTTTTTCGTAACTGTCTGTCTGGAAGTCTGCCCTCGAGCTTTCTCTCTCTCTCTCTCTCTCTCGCGTGCTCTCTCACGCGTTGCTTCGACAAACGGCAATACCGTCGCGTGGATGCGTGAGAGTGAGGGTGCGTTGCGACGGTGAGTCGTGTTTCGAATAATTGACAGGGAAGAGAGGGGAGCCGAAGGAGCAATGTTTCTTTTTTTTCTGCAGGGAAAGAGAAAGAGAGAGCGAGAGGGAGAGAGAGAGAGAGAGAGAAAGAGAGAAACCCACCTTCTCGGTCGGCTGCGCCCGCCCGGTTATCAAGAGAGATGCATTTATGCGACCGTTTTCGCGTGCGAATTGACCCGTGCGCGGCCGTCGAAAGGGGGCTTCCTGAACGAATTATTTTCAATCGGCCAAGAGAGAGTACGAACTGTCGTAAGCGAGAGGACAGCGGACGCACGAGCAGTACACGAGCACGCGACGCGAGCGAGAGCGTATCGCGTCTCCCTCTCCCTCTTCTCTCCCGACGATCACATCACCCCCTTCTTCATGCGCGCGCGTATGTGGAAATTGTGGGATTGTGTACATGCACGTAGTCCACGACACGTGTAGTTGTAACAGATGATCCTTATTTAACTGCATAGCAGATAAGAACGTTAAAAGTCACCTGACACGAAACAGCTGAGCACGATCGTACGACGGCCGAAGAATCGTTCCATCTCTCCCACTCGTTTAATTATATACGTTAAGTTACTTTTCTTTTCAGCTTAGAAACAAATATATATATAATTTGAGGAGATTGTGAATGAGAGAGAGAGAGAGAGAGAGAGAGAGAGAGAGAGAGAAAACAAATCGCTCGGGGAATGATTAATGACGTCACTGTACAGCTTTGCCTTGGGTTAATTCCTAGTATAGTAGGATTCTCAGTATCAGCTCGCTTCTTCGAAGTGCTTAGGCAAATGCGACTAATATATACTTGCGATAAGCGCGATTCAATCGTAGATACTATCTAAGGTATTATCTAAAGGTATCGAATGTTTATTATTTGTTGGTCAATTATTTCAAATTCTTCGCTAAAATCTACAATTTTTGGAACGAAACAATCCTATTAAAAGTTCTCGATTAGAAAATCATTTAATTAGATTCTCCAGTATTCTCGATTATTTTAACACATGTTGTTCTTTGCTTAAGATTCAAATAAAACAATTTTGTCGCAACAAAGGACAATTAATAATAATTGATTATAATAAATTGATTATAAAATCAATCACTGAGAAACGTGAAATTGATTAGCGTGGCGCATTGAAATCGTATGATTTTTGAATTTTTCGCAATTATCGACGATAGAGATGGATCGGATGGCGCGACCTGCATTATCGATAATTTTGTACTATACAATTGGTCTGACTTATTGTCAGACAGATGGAGGCGTCGACGAGATTCGTAAGGTTCGTTGCCTTGCTTCCCGCACCCATTCCTCTTTGTCTCCTCACCTTCCGTTCTTTAATCCTTTCTTTCCCTCTGTTTCCCTCTCCTCACTCCACATTGTGGATCGAAGCAGATCGCGAAGCGAAGGCAAACCTGGCGAACCATTGGCCGCCTCGCCCACCTCATCTCCAGCCCCTCCCAATAGTCACGACCACTCCCGACTTCCGACGACGTCTTTTCGGCTCGCATCGGCCGCGTCGCTGCGCGCCGCGCCGAACAACTTGAAAAGTCTCTCGCGTCCATCGCGCAACGCGATGCGACTTCGTAGTTGGTTGAAATACGCGGAACTATCAATCGCGACTCGCGAGTCTTCCTCCGTCGCGAACGTCACGATCGGCGCGGATCGCGTACGATTTCCCAGTTCCCGATACCGCGCCTTCAAGAGACGCGCGAGATCGATGATCGCCGATCGCCGATAAAAGTATCTACGATCATGCTCCAATCGCACACGCGCGATAGCGAATGACGACGACTTGACTCTGCTTGACTTGACTCGACGTAGTCCGTACCGAACAGTACCGAACGCTTTGTACATACTTTATATGTGCGCACATCCAGTGAAACGCAAGTGTACGTGTTTATAAAGAAAAGACGCCGCTTCTTTCCTTCTTTTTCCTCTTCCTTCCTTCCTTCCTTCCTTCCTTCCTTTCTTTCTTTCTTTCTTTCTTTCTTTCTTTCTTTCTTTCTTTCTTTCTTTCTTATGCGCATTCTCTGCATGCACATGCCGCTCGGTACGTTCCACGAGATATAAGTGTACAATAAAGAAAATTCGCGTCACGATCCCAAGGTTCTCGCTGGTACCGGAAATGCTGTGAGTGTCGAAAAGTGCCGGAAGTGCCGACCGATTCCACTAAGCCAAACATCACGACAATTCTGAACGTAAATCGCAACGTACGGAGGTGCGTACTTTGCAATTCTTGGATACCTAATATTTTTTTTATTTATCTTCCTTCTTTTGTGACATTTTAATCGCATCTTTATTTTTACACGAGACGTTTCATAGCAATGTGTATGAATGAAGAGAAGTGGAAGTACTTTTGCCTAAACGAAAACATTTTTTAATTCCGATGTATTAATACAGTTTTCAATAAAACCGAAAGATTTTTAATTTTATAAATGATTTTTATAAAATTTTATAAATTGCGAAATTAAATAATATAACGTTTTATTTATAGGAAACGTGATTTGTTAAATTCGAATTTTATAAAGAGAATACTTATTTATCTGTTGCTTACATTAATCAAGTTTTAATGGAAACAATATCGAGGAATGTCGAATAACAAGAAAAACGGAATAGAAATGCAATTGAATGAGAATTGTAATTATTTTGTCATCTTCTTCATGTTATCCTTACAGTTACCCAACTAAAAAACAAATTTTATATATAAGTAATAATTTATTATTATTATTA